TTTTAATAAGTATGTTCTTAAAACTGGTAGATATAGCTCAAGAACACATTTCTGAATTTATAAGCTGCCAATTTAAACAAATTTATTTATTAAATATGATGTTGGGTGGTAAGAGAGCAAAGGCCAAACTCCAAAATAATTAACTTTATTATATGCTTTGTAGGTTACCCGGTAACCTACATTTTATCCGAATGCTACCTGGGACTGAACCTGGATAATAAAGACAGTTTAAGTGGGCAATGTTGGAGTACTCAAAAGTATGAATGTGTCCATTCTAAATATGTTCAAAAGCTTAAAAAATGTATCAAGGGAGTAGGAATCTAATTCACTGAGGCTCTACCATGGGCTACAAACTGTACACATCAATTACATTATCGAACTTGATCTTCTCAGCGCCTTGTGGAAAGGGATGATTATTCCATGAATACACTGATGAACGAATACACTGAAAACTGTACAGCCACAGTCACACCCAGAAGAGGAAGGAGCCAAGAACAGAGCCCAATCTGTCACACCTCAGAGCCTATTTGCTCTTTCAATTACATCACACAATTTTTTTATGATACCTTCCAGGAATGGTACTAAATTCTACTTTATTTCTAATTGATCTATATTTATAAAACACTTTTTAAAACACTTTACTTTTCTGTTTCCAGAGTCTTATTAATTATTAACTATTTTATGGAAGCAAACATTTACACAGTAGAAATATGACATTTAAAGAAACCCTTCAGTTAATCTTTCTGAATTTAAATCATGCTCCTCCAATTGCCTGTTAATCTAAATTTGTGGTTTCATACAAAAGAGCATACATGTGTAAATACTAATGCTTTGAAAATAAAAGGGCCAGAAAAACGAATCACACCTTAAATCTACACTTTTATAATTGTATCACAGCAAAAGGAATCATACATTTTTTAGTGAGTTAGCATCAATGTATTGGGTAATGTCTTAACCATTCTATCCATTTTTAAGTTCCTTGTAAACCAATACCACCAAATGCATATTTATCTCCCATGACACTTAACATAGCAACCTATACATGGTAAGTACTGAGTGTTGGTTAAACGAATGAAAGGAGCAGAAAAAAATCGGAAATACCAGAAATTACATTGACCATAAAAACAAAGTTCCAACTAAATATTAGTTACTTTCAATATTTGGTGACACACAATCATAGCAACAGTAGGCACTGCAAAGACACATAGTACTCCTATTTAGAAATATGCACAGTAATGGCCAACTCCAACCTACTCATTGTTATAAGGAGCTGATAAACTCAGAACATATATCTCCAAGAGAGTAAAGGCAGCCAGGGAAGGGAAATGACAGGAGAGAGACCAAAATGAACTCTGAAGAGGGTTCAATGTTAAAATAATTTGAGATGTATTCAAATATTTTCATTCATTGTAAAAAGGTATCCTTATAAAAATGAATATTGAAAAACAAGAGACCACCACCTTAAATTTACATACCAAACAAGGCCAGAACATTTGTATAACTGCTAATAAAACATCTGATAGAAAATACTGTAAAGACAATAAATCTAAGTTTGAAAATACAGTCTGTTTTAAGGATCTGGTGATACTTCATTGCAACTGAAAATAACTACAGAATGTTATACCTCATCATAATGGGCAGGGGATACAAGAAGAATAAATTATATCTATGCCTCTATGTTTCTAAAGTGACCATCATTAGAACATGTATATAATTCTATAAAAGTAGCATTTCAGAACAAAGTTTTACAAAAAAATGTTCTGCCTTTGCTTTTTAGGGGAGAAAAAAACAACTGGAAATTTCTAGAGTAGTCAAGTCAAACTTTGTTTTACATGTAAAATAAAAGCATAATATAAAAATGTAAATTACTTAAAACCTTATTGATACTTCACTATTTTCAGAATTCTGTAGATCAGAAAATCAAATGTCTATAGGAAATACAAATATTAACCATTCACATATTACCTATTTAGATAATCATCAAGTCACAGAATAGAATTAAGAGACTATTTAAAATTTACACTGTCACTGTGTAATCCCACGCATTACATTAAAAAGGAATGCTGAAGTCTAAAACCCCCACACATATCTAGGCAAGTTCTCCACCTACTAGTTAATGTATAAGGAGCAATTCTTTTCTAAAAACATTACAAAACTGACATTTCCATGAGCTTTTAAATTTACAAACCAGGAATCATAGTAAAAACAGAGACAGGCAAGGACTCAGTTAAGCATTAATATAGTCATTTAGAAACCCTCTAAAAATGAATTTGATCCTGCATTGTGTTCTAAAATGCAAATTCAAAAAATAAAACTATATAACTGACTAACTTGCTATATATGTAAAGTGCCTTTATCCTCTTAATACAGTCTGACTTCCTAATTCTAGATAAATACATGCAAATGGCTTGAAAAAATATTAAATATATAAATCAGACTTGTAATTTAGCAGTTAGATTTGCTTACACATTTTCTTGACAACAATAGTGAGAAAACAAAAGATAATGTCATAACTAAGCGGTCTTATCCCAATCTCCATTTGCGCCCAGAATATTTATTATGGTTTTGCTGCCACTGGTATATTTAGTAAGAACTGCTCTGTGTCATAAACAAAGGTAATATGTAAATATAAACATTATTCAATTTTAATTATGAAATTGTATTTGCATTTTGCATACCAATGCAAATTTTTAAATGATTTTTGTTATATTCATAAATAGCACTAAAACCTAATAAATGCTTAATTTTTTTCTACTTTGAGAAAATCAATAATCTAAAAAATAAGAGTACATTTTGAAAAACTGTTGCATTATTTATGTTATGAATCCTTCAGTAGAATATTTGAGACATGTTCTTAAAAATGTTCTACATATTAAAATGCATTTCACCCTTCATAGTATAATTACTCAAAATAAATAAAATAATGCTAGTCAAAATATATAATAACAGAAAATATTAAATCCCCTATTCACATATTTCTGAGTTAATTATCTAAATGGGAAAGAGAATGGATGAATTTTTCACTCAGAGAACAAAACTGTTCATCAGGGAACATATTCATATCTTAAGCTCCTGCTACATGCAAAGTGCCTGGCTTGGTCCGATGCAAAATACAAAAGAGAGCTAACAGATTAGAAGAAAAAGTCGTGTATGAATAACGACGATTCAGTAGCTCTGTGGTAAAGGCCACTGAGTAATACAGAAAAGGAGCCACAGGAATCTGGGTGAGGAGTACCTTCATCTCAGCATAAAGGAAGAGGAAAATGTACCTTCCTTTGGGAAGAAGGAAAAATAAAGGAGTTCTATATACAGTTGTGGAGGGGTGAGGCAGGGAGAAGTAATTTGTTAATTATTAGTGTTCATGATCTTTAATTATTATGATCTACTGAGCTGGAAACAGGGCTGTCAACATATCGGGGTAAAGATGGAAGAAAGAAGCTGGGATGGAAATCGACTCCTGCAGTAGTAATCGCACATAAATTCTGCAATATTAAAATGGCTATGGAAAACTGAAGTATGCTGGGTTCTATGAAGAGCTCTGTCTAAAGATATAGCTGCACTTACCGTTGATAAAAAGGCCCTTTTCTGCACAGTGATAAAAGTCACTTTATCTACTGAGAGGATCCAAACAAAATTTGGAGCTTCTTGAGTAACTCAAGAATGTTAAAATCCTCAAAGCAACCTCAAAATTGAAGGAAAAATGAGCAGTTATCATTTTTTAAATATCCAAAAAACTACTAGTAGTGCTGAGTAAATCTGCTAGTTTAGAGCCTGATATATATATAATTTAACCTTACATGAAAGTAGAAGTCTCTCCTCAAATTATCTAGAGCAACCAAACACTCATTAGGCCACGTGAAATAATACAAGCCACCTACAATAACAAATAACATATATTCTGAGGGATTCAATTCCTTGCCTTTAGTATATAGGTTTTTTTAGAATGGGGAAAAAGTGTGGAAGCAGTCAAGGAAAACTGAATAATTTTGATCTATCAAGTTATCATTCAGGAAAATAATTTTTAAAGGCAAAATAGTTTATTATTTCTAAGGGGCACCATCCATCCTGATAATTTTCATGGCACATTCTCAACAGAAATCATTTCAAAGGAATTAATTCTTTAAATATTAGGCAAAAGATGATTTCCCTCAATATTTGCAGCATAATGTTAGAACTATTTTAGGCTTTTAAAATATAAAAGCAATCTTTTAACATTAAAAAATTAACTGTCATTTAAAAAAAGACTTTATAGTACAAAGTACTTTGTTTTTTAGTGTCTATTAGGTAAATAAATCACTGTTAAAATTTGAAGTTAATTATCAAAGGCTGTAAAGGAATATATTTCAGTCTATATTCAATAAGAATGTGAAGCAGATAATGCGATACCAGTTTTACATTTTGTATATTACCTTACACTTACGACAACTGTATATTAATGCAGAATATTTCTCTCTGCTTTAACCTATTTTCTTTCAATATACCATGATAAAAACTTAGCCAATAAAAAAACAATAAATAAAAAAGCACGGCTGTCACATAGATCTAAAAAAATCATTAGCAACATTTTCTCAGCTTTAAATGGAAAAAGTGTTGGTATCTAGTAAACAAATCTTCCTCTGCCAAATAAGAAAGAAAAAATGCATATATCCTAACAAAGATGGGTAAATAGGGCATAAACAGGAATTTCCAATTTCCATAATCAGACACAGAAAATAATCTAAGTTGTTATAATTTTAATCACCGACAAGGCTGCAGTTCCATTTAACAAACAACTTTCAGTGCCTGACATTTAAAGAGAAAAGGCTTAAGATCCATGCTTCACCAGCTCAGTGAATATGTCACAACTGCCAATAACAGATACAGCAGCATTTCATTTTCCAGTGAGAAGATGCCAGAAAATACAGCTATATATGCATACATATATATGCCAACTTCAAACACTTTAACTGTAAAGCAGAGAGAAATTACCGAAGGGGAATATTGTATTTTAACTAACTTACCTTTCGCCCATCACTTGCATGGCAATTCACATTTAGAGGGGTCAGTAAAGCCATTAGTTTTTCTTCATTACCACTCCTATAAAGAGGCAGAAGTCAATTCTTTTAAAATTATAACGCTTCTTATGAATACGGATAGATATTTTTCACAAGAAAGTGGAAAATCACATGGGTTTGCTTCGGTTTCTCCTGTACGGTTCTGAATGACACTCTTTGCTATATTCAATTCAGTTAATATATTCCCAATTAATCCCTGTTAAGCATCATGTAGTGGTACAGCTTGGAAAAAGTAGCTTTCTACATTTTTATTTTTTTATTTATCTGCATAAAGTCATCTTCCTAATTACAAACAAACTTTATTCTGATAAGTGATCTAAAACACAGGAGTTAAAAATACACACAAAATGCTGTAAAAAACTAATCAATTAAATTAAAAATGAACAAGAACAAAAGAAAATGGATGAGAATTTAACATTTACTTTATGCCCCTCACTCAAGCTTTTGAAAATTAGAAAAATTTTCAAAGAAAAATGAAAATATAGGTGTTCAAATACTCTGAGAATATCATTGGAAAAGCTGGGCAACTAAGGTTTGCAGGTACCCTAAGATATGTTTCAAATACAATTAACCCTACAATCATCACCAGACTGAAAGACTGTCACATTTAATACACTAATCATGTAAAATAAAGTACACAAAGATCTCGTATAAGGTCCTATCTGCATTACTGCATAAAATCCAAGCAAGACAATAACATGTTATAATTTTTATAGTCCTCCCCCTGCCCTCCCCCTTTTCTCCCTTAAATGCATTATACTCACTTAAAATGAATGGAATCACTTACCTAGCAGCTTCTAGGAGTTCGTCTTTCTTGTATTCACCTAGATGATTGCAAAATATCATGCTGTTAGCATTTGGCAGAAGACAGATTAAGAAATGCAGTAGGCAGCAAATAGAGAATTAAATAGAGAAGAACAGAAAAAGATAGTCCACACCCCGCTGGGTGATGGAGCCGTGACGTTAGCTAGCTTGTGAAGGCAGCATCACCAGTGCCTTGGAGACGGGCAGCAAATTGACGCAGCTTCTTGTCCAATCCTCAGATGAAGTAGCTTTCTTCAGACAACCAATGAATGCTAAATCTCGTGTCCAGAAACACATTCCCTCTGATAACAGCATGCCAGCCGAAGACAATGTCCCCTCCCCCCTTTCCTATTCAGCCTGTCACAGTATACTTGTGAAGCATAATACATTCGGAGACAAAAGCAAAATAATGTGGCTCTTTAAAGGTACAAATTACTTGTCTTTGAAAAAATTCAATTTTATTCGTAAAGACATGGAAAGTTAAAAAAAAAACCACATTAATTACCATTGCTGAGCTTTATAGCAGTAGAAAAAAATATCAGAACCTTGAAGCCTTTGCTTCGATAGGGTAGGTCTGTAGACTAGAAATACGTGAATTACGTACCAAATGCTAGGAACCTCTTGGAGGCAGCGCTCCAAAAACCAAAACAGTGACAATAATATCCTAATGTGCTATAATCTATACACTTTATACAAATTCAGCATCAAATTTTAACAAACAATAAATATTAAACATATTTTTTAAAAGCAGGCTTAGATCTCTGAGAATGAGCAGATAGCTAACTATTGAGATGTGAATAATTTTTCATTCTATTTTTAATATATCACAGACTAAAATGAGGCATATAATTTAAGACCTTCAATACAAACTTCCTAGGGTATTCAAGATCTAACAAACAAGTTTATTTTGAAAGCTTAATTAAAGAACAAGAAATTTTAACAATAAAGTGTTTGTTCATTCAATAGATAAAAATACCAGGACTATGATTCAGCTATAACAATACATGGATTCAGTTTGCTATATCATTAAAGACATAATTATGTTTTAATGCTATTAAGAAATAAGCTTAAATTATTTTAAAAAAATCTTACTTGTAAATATAGATTTCTTTGCATTCTGTTTCTGTTTTGCTACAGAATGCAGAATATTGATACAAATACTATAAAGACACCTCAGGACCACCAAACACATGTTTAAGTTCTATAACTCATTATTAGCACATATTCTTTTAGTTTAAACTTAGTCTTATTTCTCAAATTAAGATTACATTAAAATCTAAAAACTGTAAAGAGTTATTTTCAAATAAGGAAACAGTTTTTAAATACCTATTCTCCCCTAAGGAAATTTTATATACCAATAAACTCACAGGTTCAACAATATATATAGATAAGCTAGAATGCATGATTCCTGATAAGAGTTGGTCTTTCCAATTTCCCATATATTGTCTTCCAGATTCTTTAACTGATTGACAGTTTAAGATTTATATTATTATATGCCTTGCCAATAAAGTTCTTGACTTCCCAATGCCAAAGACCTATCTTTATTAAACATTTTAGTTGGCATTATGAAAGTTAGTAAGTCCATTTAAAAAGCTCCTATGAGGACAATGGCATAACCCATACCCTCAAATACCTTAAATATCAAGAGCAAAGAACGTCAAATTATGGAATTACCTATAGAAGTCTGTCTTTCAGTCAGTCAATGAACATTTGAAAGGCCTATATGCCAGATTTCAAAACCAAAAAAGACACTACCATCTCTGAACTCAAGGAATATTAGTCTATCAAATGAGACAGACAAGTAAACAAATGATTAGAATATAAAAATAATCTTATGAAATGCTATAAAGAGCTTAAAGGCTAGTCTAAATGGGATTAATGAAAGGCAGGTGATTTATAGTTCAAGGAAGGTTTCCTGGAAGAGGGGAAACTTGCACAGAGTTTTGAAGGAAGAACAGGTGATCCTCAGATGAAGAAGGGTGAGTGAGAAGGAAGGAAGAGAAGTAAAGAAGGAGGAGAAGGGTAGCTCTGTAAACCTGAAACAAAGGGCCCCTACAGGCGAATGGAGAACAAGGAGGTAGGGAAGAATTTGAAAGGTCAAGAATGGCCCTCTAAGGAATCTGAACATTATTTTGAAGAGTGCGAAGTATATTTAAAGATCGGTAAGTTTTGTGATTATGTAAACTATTTCCATGTTCTACTCCAGTGAACTTTTGTTCGGAAGGAAATTGGCCCAAAGCAAAGAGGAAGTGGGTACAGCGGCACAATAAATACTGACAGTTTATATACTGAAGTATAAATTCCCTGATATACAGTAAAAACACATTAACATCGGGAACTGAAAGCAGCTACTATTGAAATCTAAGTCACAGTGAAACATGACTCCAATAAGCTAGGTAATAAAACTGCAAAGTATTTGGGATCTCCGAAGTTCAAATCAGTCTACCTACATAAACTTCTCATCAAATATAGCTCATTGATGTTTTCTCCAAAAGGCACATTATTTTTGCAAGAATGTTATTCCCCCACGGATAAGCTGATAATAAACCAAAGCTTTCAAAAGGAAACATTTAAGTACATCTGACAGAGTTGGACACAAGTGTTACAAATGGCTTTCTACTCTGACTGTTCCAGAGCCTAGTACTTTAATCATCTTTTCTGCAATACATTCCAACATCCACTATCTGGTGCCCAAGGACCACAATCCATAAACAGTGGAAGCTATTTTTCAAATGCTACATTGCAGCTACAACTAACATAATGAATTTAGAGGTCCTTACCCACTCTGACGACAAATCTGAGCTACTTACTTAACAGCCAAACCACAGGTTCTGTTTCATTTTAGCTGAGAATCTGAAAATATTCCGGCTGAGACGATGGTGCTCTATGGAGCATTTATATTCTTTAATAACATTCAGATAAAGGCCAGCAATAGATCAGCCAGAAAGGAAACTAGGCAATTATAGTCAAGATAATAGCATCCAGGAATGGAGAAAATGGATGGCTTAAAATATTTTTCTTTGATTAAAATAAGTGGGATACAAAAAAATAATAAGCAAGCCAAAAGTTTACTTTTCAAAGTCTGAACTGTTATTAGTAAACTAATGATAGGATACATATAAAGATACACACACACACACACACACACAGAGTGAAGTATGAGTTAATATGTTAAAGAAGTACGTTATCAGAAAGGTTAAATCATAAAGGTTAAAAATAAAACTCCTCTTTGTATTTCTCTGAGGTAGTTAGAACACAAATTACTTTTTGAATAAAAATGAAGAACACCTACATCAATATATAGAAGTCAGGATTACTGACTTATCTCAATTTTAACATTTTATGGAGTTTTTGCCCCTTTCTTCATCCACTGACAGGATGAAAGCAGTAGACTTTAATTCTGTAGAAATGAGCTCACTTGGTTCTGCTGAGATGGAAGAGGGAGGAAACTCACGATCATGAAATCACGCGTTCTTAAAGCGGTGAGGAACTAAAAGGAATTATGGCCTTTCTTTTCTCTTCCTTTGAAACCATGCATAATACATGCCTATCAGTGACATCTCGTTATTACCACGAGGGGGGTGCACTGTGAAAGTCACCTTTCTCCCGTCACCTCGCCCCCAACTTTAGAGTCACTCTCCTTAGGGACCATCTGCAACAGATTCATTTACAGTTAATGAAACTGACACTAGGGCAGTTAAATGAATTGTCTAAGGTTTCATGAGTATTATTCACTATCCGTTAGGCCCTGAACGAGGCTAATACTTGAGCACAAACTAAACAAATCTGAGCTTTCAAAGAAGCAATGTAAACAAGAGTAACAGAACAGTAACAGCAATAAAAGAATATTTAAAACAATGACAATAACGAGCTTTAAAGAGATTAAACATATTTATATAAGCCAAATATTTCCATCAAAACTATTTTAAAGCACTGAAGTTTTCATATGAGCTTTGTAAACATGGGCAAAAAAAAAAAAAAAAAGGTAGTTTTAATATTTTGGACCGAGGGAATAGGAATTCTGAATCTATTCAAATGATCAATGCATTTAGCATTTCCCATAGCATGCTTTAATCCCTCATGCTTTCGGTATCTCAAGGGAAGAGCTCTGTATAGACTTCAGTCAAGAAACAGACTCACAGATACAGAGAACATTTTGACGATCACTGGATGAGAGGAGGATGGGGTAATGGGTGAGAAAGGTGAAGGGATTAAGAAAAACAAATTGGTAATTACAAAATAGTAATGGTGATGTAAAGGACAGCATAGGGGATATAGTCAATAATACTGTAATAATAATAACTACATATGGTATCAGATGGGTACTAGATTTATCGGGATGATCACTTTGTAAGTTACAGAAATGTCTAATCACTGTTTGTACACCTGAAACTAACATAATATTGTATGTCAACTGTAATTGAAAAATAAAAACTTACTTTAAAGAAAGAACCTTAGTTACAGGTTTAACGACCTTAGTTGCCAGGTTCAAGTATTAAGTAGTACCATGAGTTGATAATTTTCATATAGAATTTTTCATCAAGGTACCAGTAAATATAAAAGATGAACTGATTCTTGTATCTAAACTGACAGCCAATGTGTGAAATAAAATATTAATTTAGGGATATATTCCATGTGTTTTCACTAATAGTTCGAAAACTTAGAACCAGTTGTGTAGTTACGGAAGGAATCTCACTAAAGCACCAGAAGATAATCTAATCTCAAGAAGTTAAAGCTATGACTTTCACCAAGAGCAATTTCAGACTAAATGATATTCTACTATACATAAATGAAGACGCCAAGAATTCTTGAATTATTTTTCCCTCTGAAATCTTTCATGAGTATTTTCAAGACAACTGGGGGGAAATTACAGTTATCAAAGTTCTAAATGCTTTTTTCCTACTTCTGAATCCTATCACCCTTCCCACTCATTTTGCTACTTGCTTCAAAATCTATACCATTAGTTAAGCCTAAAATTATGACCAAACTAAACACTCCACAGTCATTCTAAACATGGAAT